CGTTACCTCAGGTATCTAGTAACCTCAGTAATAGTAAAGTACTTACCTCAGGTAACCGACAGTAACCTCAGGTCAGCCGCAGTAACGCTCAGGTAGCGCTGCAGGTAATAGTAAAGGTAACTTACCGTCAGGTAGCCACAGTAACCTCAGGTACTCAGGTAGGTAAAGGTAGCCCTAACTTACTCCAGGTACCACAGTAACTCAGGTACTCAGGTAATAGTAAAGGTAACTTACCTCAAGTATCGCAGTAATCCTCAGTAGCCTCAAGTAATCGTAAAGGTAACTTACCTGCAAGGTACCACAGTAACCTCAGGTACCTCCAGGATAAGGTGCAAGGTAAACTTACCTGCAGGTACCACAGTAACCTCAGGTACCTCAGGTAAGGTAAAGGTAACTAGTCGCCCACCACCACCCACTCGGCCATGCGCGACAAGCAATACAACATGCAGTATATATAATAGTATAATATTATATAGCACCTATATAGCATACCTGCTATAAACTACCTGCTATAAATTAAATAAATTTATTAAATTTATATATTTACCTGTGGGCAGGAAAAAGGCTACTAAGGAGTGACTAGTCATCACTGAGCTCTATTAATGAACTCTATTAATAGAGCTTAGTGCTGGTCACCCACCACCACCCACTCGACAACGCGCGACTAGCAACACAACATCGGATGCCCTGTACTGTCACAACATCCGGCTCAGACGACAAGCCGTTCGAAATCAATGTCTAGCTAATCCCACCTGGAACAGTGACGGGACGGATGAACGCAGCATAATTGAATCAATATTAATCAAGCGAATCTCTGCTGCTGCGAGGATGGATCAGAGGAAAGCCCGCATTAGCAGCTGGCGATGCGGCGAGTACTGGGCTGTCGTTGCTGTGATCGCACGCTGTGTGTGGCGGACACGCACGGTGCGTCTACGTACCGCCGATCCATCTTGAGCACAGGCTCTGTCTTTTCACTGTCTCTCTCTCTCTCTCTCTCTGTCTGTGTGTGTGCGTCTCTCTCTCCCGCTCTTTCTCCCTCTCTCTTTCTCGTGCGCGCGTGCGTGATGTATGTGTGTGCGTACGCGATGTATGTGTGTGCGCGTACGTGTGCGTATGCGTGCGTGATGTATGTGTGTGCGTACGTGTGCGTATGTGTGTGCGTGTGAGTGTGTGTACGTGCGTGTGCGCGTGTACGCGTGTGTGTGTGTGTACGTGCGTGTGGCGCGCTGTACGTGTGTGTGTGTGTGTGGTGTGTGTGTGGTGTGTGTGCGTGTGTGTGGTGTGTTGTGTGTGTGTGTAGGTGGTTGTACGGTCTGCGTGTACGTGGCGTGTGCGTGCGTGTGCGCGTGTGCGCGTGCGCGCCGTGCGTGCGTGCCGTGCGTGCGTGGCGTGCGTGGGTGCGTGCGTGCGTGCGTGTGTGTGTGGGCGAGGTTCGCACGAGTGGTAGCTTTATCGGGACTAAACACCAGGCGCACGAGCATGAGACGACGAGACGAGTGTAACTGAGCTTGGCCAGTTGTATTTCGCGTAATGGATAACAGCGGCCCTCTCCTCATCGCATCCTTCTAGATTAGCGTCATCACGCTCGCTCGCTAAGTATAGCAAGCATCACTGATTGCGACATGCGATATGCTCGGCTCATGTTAGCCCCAGCCTCGTCATCCCTTTTTACCTTACATAATAAGCAATAATAACAACAACAAGCAACAACAACAGGCACTAATAATATATGATAATAATGAATAAAAACATAATTACGCTGTTTTTAATAATAGCATCATCATCATCATCATCATCATCATCATCATCATCATCATCATTAGGCAGGCAGCAGCAACATTATCATCCTCCTCCCATCATCAGCAGCAGTCATCATCACATCCTCATACACGCAGCATCTCATATCACCATCAGGGCAGCAGCAGCAGCAGGGTCAACATGGCCTTATCACCAAATCATCACAACCCTGCGATAATTTCGTTCCGATTCCCAAGAATCTATAGCGATTTATAGTTTGAAAGTATCACCACCGCAAGCATATTATTACCGCAAGCAGCGGCGTTCCTGTAGAGCCGACGCAAATTTCAAGCTTTGATGTGCGACGTATAATGATGTTGCCGGATACGTGCCAGCCACGTGTGTGTTGTGTGTGTGTGTGTGTGTGGTGTGTGTGGTGCGTGTGTGTGTGTGTCGTGTGTGTGTGTGTGTGTGTGTGTGTGTGTGTGTGTGTGTGTGGTGTGTGCGTGCGTGCGTGTATGTGTGCGTGGTGTGTGTGTGTGTGTGTGTCTGTGTGTGTGTGTGTGTGTCGTGCGCGGGCGGTGTGCGTGTGTGTGGCGTGCGTGCGTGCGTGCGTGCGTGCGCCGTGTGTGTGTGTCGTGCGTGGTGTGTGTGTGGTGCAGTGGCGTGGCGTGGCTGGTGTGTGTGTGTGCGCGCGCGCTCGTAACCGCGCGTGTGTGTGTGCCTGCGTGCGTGCGTGCGGCGCGCGTGTGTGTGTGTGTGT